GAGAGAGAGAGAGAGAGAGAGAGAGAGAGAGAGAGAAGGAGGAGGACACAATGAATGGAAGAGAAGGAATGAGGGTGGGAGGAGGCAGAGGGAGAGCTGCACTGCAGGCCTATACTCCTGACAGGTTTGAACCTGCCTCAGCCCCCATTTTCCAACCCCTGCGAGTAGAGATGACTTCATGGGTGTATGTGTGTGAGTGTGTGTGTTTGTGTGTGTATTACAATATGGAATGAACAAACAAGGTGTCCACAACACCACAACTGTAGATAGATAGATAGATAATTTAGAAAAATCAGTTGAAAAAGATAGAAGCTTTCACAGTTTTTCATGTTTTATGTAACTGCACTTTAAACGTGTCTTTTGTGCAATGCTTAGGCTCCATGATGTGATATTTTAGAGATACATACACAGATGATAATCACAATTATCTTCAACATCTTTTTTTTTTACTTCTTTGTCCTCCTTTCAGCAGCACTTAGTACAAGATGAGCAGACTCAGCACATTTACAGCAAAACCTTCTGTCAGAGCGATTACATCAATGCAGAATGACGTCATCCTTAATAACCCCAAATCCCACAACAGATCGGACAGCATGTTGCCAATTTAAACGGATTAATGTTTCTGTGTTGATTTTTCTTTTTCTTTTTTACTTTGCTTAACTTTGGGGCAACTGAATCACAAGACTTTTTCCGCGCTTCCTCCTCTTGTTACACACGTGATGGATGACATAATGCAGTCACAACTTTTAAAACCACCTGCTTTTGATTCATCTACAACATCCAGCTTTAAAAATGAGCGAACTTTACTTACTACTTCTCAAAGTTGCCATGTTTCGTGGATGAACGTCAATACCATCGAACCGCTCGCCCCCGGCTTGGAGCTCATTCCGTTCAAATTAGGCGGCGGTTCTGACCAGCGAACAGTCCGGCAGCCGGGCGGTCAGTGCCTGTATGTGTCTCAAGAACATGCCGGTTGTGTTTCCTTTCCTACCGCTCCGTGTGCGCAACCTGCTCGCCTCATAAACAAGCCCGGCACAGCTGTAAAGAGAGTGCTGTCACACCCCCCAAATAGACACTCGCGCTCAACCTCGTCCGCTTGGTGATGAGACTTCACCGGGACCGCCAGCCAAAAACGTCCCTCTGAACTTTCCAGTAGCTACAGCGTAACATTTTTTTTTTTTTTTAAAAGCAGAAAATAAAATTCACGATTAAAGATAAATTCAGCAGTGTGTGTCGGCGTCAGGCGAGCGCTTCCTGTGGAGTTTAAAGTTTTGTGAATGAAAGTAAATTGCGGAGGCTTACCTACAAGTCGAGAGGGACAAGCGGCGCTCCAGAGAGGAACCACGTTGGACTGGAGCGAGATTACAATACGTTCTATTTACAGACGCATTACATCATTCTCCCGGTGACGTCACGTGGGATTCCTGAACTTCTAAATCATTGCGGTCCCGTACGAAGAGAGGGGTAGAGCGGGTGGGGGGCGGGGTTAAGACACCGGTCGGTAGGGGGACGGACGGGACAGCATGCATGGTGGACCTGGACCGACGGACAAACCCGAGTCTCACGCACCACCGGCAACGTGACGGGACACGGGGCAGACTGGGTGGGCGGATGAGACCCAGTTTTTTTTTCTCACCCCACTTTCAGTCTTTCTGAAATGGGACGTCCCAGCGTCTACATCGAGTTTATGCGGGTTTTTTTACTTTTCCGATGGTTATGGCTTTATTATTATTATTATGAAACATACCATGGTCTTCATGTGAGGAGAAATGATCGAGTGCTTTGTCCCGCACTGATTCCTATAAACAACACGGAGAGCATGATAACCATATGATTAGTATATTAGCCTATGACAGTGCTAATAGGCTACTAACATAGGCTATACAACTAATGCTTGCAGAATAATAATAATAATAATAATATAATAAGAATCTTATTATTGATATTATACTTCTAAATGTATATTACTTGGTTGGTCCCAACACATCCTGTTTTAATCTCTGATGACCCAAAAAGGTGTATTGCCTCTTTACCCCTAAATATTTATCTAATGAGGTAGTCACAATGAGATCAACATCAATTTTTCAAGTCTGATAATAATAATAATAATAATAATAAAACATTTATAATCAGACATAAATGTGTAAAACAAATCTAAAGTCAGACAACCAACAATCAAGTGACAACCCAAATTAATATAATAAACACACACACACACACACATATATATATTATTACAATGTTATTGATAAAATGTAACACATTCTGATAGACTGGGTTTGTTGTCACCATCAATACATCCAGTCACTACACACTGGTAGCCATTGTGTGTTCAATATGATGTCATAAGGCATGAACAGGGCAAAGACTCACACCAGTTCTGACACAAGTTTGTGTATAGGGGACACATATTTTATACAGGAACAAAAGATTGTTATTTACTGTGTAAGAGCCATGTTATATTGTTTATAGTTTTATTTTTTATTGCAAAAGTAATGTGTGTTATGCCCTTTAAAATGTTTACCATACAATAGAATTAAGGTAATTGGTCATGTTGCAAACTGTGCTTTGCTGTGTGTTTTTGTCCTATTAAGATGAAAGCTCCATTATTATGTCCTGATTTTGGATAAATTTTGGTTGACTCCTTTTAGTGGGTTTTAGTCACTAAAAGAGTCAGAAGCCTTTACATCCTGCAAGAAGTGGCGAAGAAGGACGGTAAAACAAGCTGCTACTAGTGTGTTTTTTCACTAAAGGAAGACCTTTGGTGGTTTGGCAGTTTTGATAGAGATGAAAGAGACATGAGATTTGAAGTATTCAGGCATATGCAGCCTTTTTAATGGTTTTCACTTAAGTTACACTGATTTCAATTGTGTTTACAAAAATAAATAAATGTTCACTGTTTTATAATTTGATCAAAATCATTCATATGATGCCATGAAATACCATCGGTCATACAAAATAACAGGAGGGACTTTGGTCATTCACCTCTCCACTGAGCTGAGCCATGGAGTAATATCTCTGCCATGTTTGGTCAGGCTTTCCGGTGCTATGGCCGAGCTTGAGCTGAACAGAGGGATATGGTTTTGTTGTGGTTGGTTGAAGAGCAAAATGGGACCAAACCCTACTGACTCATCATCCACCAATCGCATAAAGTGTGCAAATACTGGCAGCCACGGCAACAAGAAGAAACAGGAAGTTGTGATGATGTCACTCTGTGTTTTAAGCTCTTCCCCCATGTGTGGATGTGAATCACTGAGCTTTGTTTTCAGTGAAGATATGGGATGTTTTTACGGCACGTGTGCGTGCCCGTGAAGGGTGCGCAGTCACACTAAAAAGTCTATGACGGCAGCCAGGAAGTCTCTGGCTGGTGCCCTGGAGCAGACAACGCCGCTGAGATTTGCAACTATCTCCATAACTCAGTGGCTGAACCAGCCATTATCATCTGGCATCCTATTCACCTCCGCGTGGCTCTTAACATCCAGACTGGGAGCTTTAGAGAGCTGCTGGCTCAGAGCCTGGTGTCACCCTGTCTGCAAGAATATAGCCTTTCAGGTCACAGGTCAAACAAACTTACTTACCTCAAACCCCATGTAGTATTACCCTCACTGTAGCTACATCACAAAATCTGCTAGTCAGCCATCAGCTGTCAAGCTGTTTTTATTGGACACATGGTGGTTTCTGACTATTTTTATCAGTGAAGTGTAGTGAAGACTAATGTGGGACTTAAAAAAGTAACTGGAAACAGATACATCCAAGTGAGTTGCAGTCATCTGAATTTGTAATGCGTTGGTTGGTGTTAAATTTACATCCACCTCTGCCCTCACATGCAGATCCACTCAAGAGCAGACTACTTGTGTGTGTGTGTGTTAAGATTTAGTGTGGCCCGCACTGCACATGTACACTGCGAGTTGTGTGTTGTCCATCACACTAGTCGGACGGTTTGATATTCAGAGAAAAAGAAGCTGACAAACAGAAACTACATGCTAGTTTGTTTGAAATCTGTCCTGTACTGTTGCATTGTGCGCCACCCACAGGCCTCAGATCAGATGATGTCATGCACCGTAAACTCGCCTCGAGTCTCTCCCTTTCTCTCTTGCATTTCACAACACATGCTAGCACTTCTCATTTACGTAATGGTGTTGGGAGCTGCGTCACTGTCACAGCTCTGATACACCACGTGTGTTCAATGAGTGTGTTTATGTTGAGTGTGTGTCTACATGTGTGTAAGAGAGAACATCTGTGTTAGGCTGGTGAAGTCACTGGATTTCTATACTGTACATCTGTGGTCGCCAGGTGATGTCATGTTGTTTTTCTGTGAATGTATGTGTTTGTAGTGGTTAGCACTCCTTTGCAGCTGTGAGTTTATTTCATTTTTATATGTATGCATATGTGTTTCAAAAAGGGTTTGGGTATAGAGGGCAGTCAGAAATAAAATAGTGAGTGTGTTCGCAGGTCTTCAGGTTGTTTGCTGAAGTCACTGGCCAGTGGTTTATGACAGGCCATGTTAACGCTCCATTAACAGGTCCAACACAGGCCAGCCGGCCCCTGTTAGCCAACCCCAGTGATTTAAGGACATTCTCCTCTCTCTGGGAGCCACACACACATTACAAAGTCCTCTCCTCACCGCTGAGCCATTACGGGGCAACATTAATCCTGAAACTTTATGGATGTGATGGATGCTGTTGTCAATGGGATATGCAACTGCTATATCTTAAATATTGACACACACGAACATGTGCAGCTATATACTTTAACACACAGAGTTATCGCCGGATGAAAAAATATACAACAATCATTTAAAATGATAACAACAATGATTGATTTTTTTGCGCCCAAATTATATTTCTGTCAGTTTTGAAGTTAAAGCTAATTTGTTTTATAAACATGTAAAATACTCGCTCCAGCCCATTTCATGGTAATTATTAAAACAACAAAACTATACAAGAAAGTATTTGTATTGCACATTTCATAAGCAATTCAAAGTGATTGAAAGACATTGACAAAGAATTTCAGCAGAAGACCTTTTTTTCTGAAGACATTACTGCAAATGAATGTTTGGGGGCAAGAAATGCAGGCCAGCTATTCACCATGATGACTATAAAGACAAGAATTTAGATTGTCAGCGCATGTCCAGATCACAAGTTGTTATTCTGGGACTATGATGTTGCCACGAGGTGACTCTGGTCAGCAGTTCATGGTTCCTCCCCCGGATCATATCCACACAGTATCAGGACGACTGCTCAGGCCTTTCCATTGGCGGGCTCTATAGGATCCATGGGAGTCTTATTTTAATGTTTTATTACATGCTGGTGCTCAAACAGGTGGTTTACAGTCAAAGAAGATTTTGCAGACATTTATACTGATTCCTTATACTTATATATTTCATTACTCCATCTACAATGAATATAATATATCAAATAAATTGATATTGTATATACTCTTATATGATACAATGTATATGATATTACTCTTTCATACATTTTTTGGATGACTACTTTCTCTGTATACAGCGTTCCATCAGGGACTCAAATCCAGGCCAATTTGATCATGTTTTTAAAGTCTGTAGCATTGTGAAAGGAAATATGTCAATATGTCTAAAAAACGTACAGTGTAAATCTTTAATTACCCTGTACGATGTGTATATTACCCTGTACGAGGGTAATATACTATATATTTGTATTACACTGTAATACAAATATATAGTATATTACCCTCTATTGTTAATCAGTATCCATCAAATATTGTTTATATATATATATATATATATATATATATACAGATGCACAGATCCCAACAGGTAGGCAGGTCGTGACGTAGGCCAGCCTCCCCCTCCCCCCATCTCCACCCCCACCCCCACCTTGGCACCGTTCCGCCTGCCCTCCCAGTTGCGTTCGCCGCTGTCCTGTCTGGCCGACCCGGTGTCTGCTGCTCCGCGCTCTGCGGCGCTCCCACCCCGAATCCCAAAATCTCAACCTTCCTCGTAGCTCACCTCCCCCGGCTCCCCGGTCCTCCCCTCCCCGCTCCCCTTCCCAACCCGGTGAATGCACCAGCGCCGATAAACATGACGGGCATCGCCGCCGCTTCTTTCTTCTCCAATTCCTGCAGGTTCGGGGGCTGCGGTCTGCAGTTCGAGACTCTCGCCGAGCTCATCGTCCACATCGAGGACAATCACATCGGTGAGTCAGGCCAGAGGAGGGGGGGCGGGGAGAGAGAGAGAGAGACGGAGCTAGGCAGCTAGCTTCCGCTAGCATCCATAGCTAGTTAGCTGACTGCAAATAGGCGTGCATTCCGCTATTCCTGCTGCTCGCTCTCGGTGGACGCTCGTCGGCGAGCGAGTTATTCAGCAACACGAGACTTTAATTCCTTTTGAAACACAACACTGCTACTCTGTGAAATACGTGACCGGCTCGATTTGTATTTGTGCTTTCGCCACGATAGGTACCTCTCGCAGCGGTGACTCGACTTCGAGGGCCGCGTAAGGTCTCATAGGTGTAACTAGCATTCCGACCAGGCAGCGGATTTCACAGCTAACGTCGCTGAGAAGTCTGTCTGTGTGTGTGTGTGTGTGTGTGTTTACGTTTTCCAGGCCTGATGCGGTGCAGTCTCACACCGCTTGTGTGTTGAGCTTGCCCGCGTCGCTTTTCTGTCGCCTCAGGTGTCTTTACGCATCGAGACATCACCTTATTTTGCATTGCTATCCGATCATGTTTGTGTCACTTAATTATCATTGACCCCGTATTGCGGAAAGACATGCAAGGAAATTGCATATATTTTCTTGCACATGCACAAGCGTTAACTTGTTGCACCGCGTATTAGATTTCCATCTAACGGTAATCACTGTAACTGCATGTATAGACCCACACTCAGTTTACCCACACGTTGACACATAGACAATTACTGTGTAAACACCTAAGTGTGGACTAGTATGACATTCATGCAAATTATTTACGTTATTACTAGGTAATAAGGACGCAGGTAGTGCTTTAGTATAAAACAAATGTCTGTATTGGTGATACATTTATTACCTTTTATTTTCCCCCTTCAAATGCATGTGAGAAATGTGGCCTATCAAAGAAAACAGAATAGACATATTTTAATTGTTAAATAATTACTGTTCCTCTCTTAGATGCAGTTGCAAATACAACATCAATAGTTTTTTTTACGAGTGAGTTCTCCCTTTGCTATTCACCTTATCTAAATCATTAAAATGTAGCCTAATTAGTACCATGCAATGTAATTATTGTTCAGTATTTTAACACGTTTTGCAGCACAGTTCAAATGCTTGCTTCTGTTTTAACACGAATAGATTCACCTTTAATCCACCAAAAGCAAATTACAGCGTGAAAGGATTTGGTGAAAAACAACCACACGCTAATCTGTAACAAAGTTGACGCGCTCTAATCATTATTTGTGGTGTGTATCCATCCTCGGGAGGCTGTTTGAAGCGGGTGTGAGGTGGCGGGGGTGAAGGGGGGGGTAGAATGGATGCTTCATTGAGCCAGTCTCCATGGCAACTGGCCGTCTCCAAAGGGGTTGGTTGAGGGCAGTATATTGGCTGAGTTATTGCACACCTGCTGTCTCGCCAACAAAGAGCGCTACCGAGCAGCTAGCTGTGGCGAGGACACCCGACGTGTGATGTTGTCACAGGACTGATGTGTTGATGTTTAAATAAAGGGGTCAAGTTTTGTGTGTGTGAGGAGAGAGTGAGCGTGAGTGATGCTGGTCTTCATCCCAACATATGCTCCGTGGATCACTTGCAAATTATCCAAATAGAGGGGATAAACAAACGCTGTGAATGACCGTTTTATTTTTAACAGTATATATCTTCTGACAAAGACTCCAAACCAATCAGAAAAACAAATTAAAGGATATTGTGACAGAAATGCAAGAACGGATATGGTGCTTTCAGTCACAGAGCCGTGGCCTACACTGATATACGCCCCATCTGGCTCTTAGCTTGACATTTGACCCCAGCCTTCAACCGAGCAGGATGTCAGTTTACCGGTTAGATAGCTCGGATTAATGAGCTCCCCCTCTGCCGACTCGTCCCGTGGCATCGAGATCACACACACGGTCTAATCAATACTCCTCACAGATCAGTTACCACAGGGATAAGTCTGACAAATGGAAGGGATTGAGGTGAGAGAAGGCGGGGGGGGGGGGTAGCGGCATTTAGCTTTGACTTCCCTCTTCCAGGTTTTGAAATGGTGCAGCAGTGAGTGTGTGTGTGCGTGTGTGTGTGTGCGTGTGTGTGTGTGTGTGTGTGTGTGTGTGTGTGTGTGATCGATCAACAGTCAATCAAAAGATACGTTAATTTGATCCTCCTAGCTCCTGCACGTGAGACTTCAGATAAGCTGTTTGAAGCTTTGCAGATAACCGATTGCCTTGATTGTGGTCCGTCCTGCTGTGTGCAAATAGATTATGAAAAAAAAAAAAAGCAGGCGCTAACAATCAATCGGATAATCCAGAGGTGACAACAGATGTGCGCTAGCAGACTGTAAACGGCTGTAAAAGTGACTCAGTAGGTCTCAAAGTCAGTGTGGGCCTGTGCCAGAAACACTTTGGTCATTATCGTAGACTGTGCTGCCCTCTTGTGGCCGGACATCCTATGTGCTATATTGTCCAAAAAAAAGAGTTACATTTATTTTTCTGCCTGTGTGTCAATGATCTCAACTTGTATCTCATTTGGACTCCTGCCTCTTCTGACACAGCACACAATAGCTGGCAGCAAAACCAACCAGATGAGCCCGTCGCGATCTTTTCCGTGAGGTGATGTGTGACCTCATCCCAGAAGAAAGGATCGCAGCCTTCCAATAACATACCAGCGCTGTTTAGATTGCGGCTGAACGCGAGAGGAAATGGGTTAGGTGAACTGTGCTCCGTGTGGTGTTTGGTTGTTGTCTTTGTGGCTACGGCTTTGTGCGGTGACTCTCGGTAAGGTCTGAGGAATGCAATGATGTCAGGCTCATCTGCCTGTGTTCCCACCTGCGCAAGCACGTACCTGCCTCTTACCTCAACAAATAGGAGCTGGGAGGGGGAGGGGAAAGAGATTTGAAAGAGAAGGTTAAGGGAGGAAAAATAAGGGGTCGAGCACGGGGAAATGCCAAACATCTCAGTTTTGTTTAGACGGAATTAACTTTGATTTTTGTTCTTTTGGATTTGGTTTTATAGCCGGGATCAAAGACTGAGGTGTGATGAGACGAGATGAGTCAGGTCAGCATTGTGTTGTAATAAAGCGGTCTCTGCTAAAACATGCAGATAATTGACCTACAGTAACTTTTAAACACGTAATCACTCAGCCCACCGGCCAGGTTTGGCTGAGAAACGCCCCTTCCCTGCTGCTGTTGATTTTTTTTTGAATAACGACATAATTGCATAGCAGAGGAGGTATTATGTGAATTACCAGAATGTGTCTTCGCATTAGTGTGCCTGATGTTGCCAGTAAGTCTGAGCAATAATTGACTCTCAGATGAAATCCTTTTGATCTTCAGAGCTGTATAAGTTAGTCGATTAATACACAAGCTGAACAACAAACAAATGAATCCATAACAGATTTGATAATTGTTAAATTGTTTAAATCATTTCAAAAAATTTCGCTTTTTCCAGCTTCTCAGATGTGAAGATTCTTTGCTTGTACAATATGTATGGACATGACAATAAGTAGTCGCCCCCTGCTGGAAAGAATGCACGTTTAAGGCCCCTCTGCATAGGCTGCACTTTTCAGCCACTATCTCTAAATGTTGATCGTTGACCTAGTGATTTAGTCCGTCTGTGAAATGTCACAGAATACTGAACGGCCATCACAATACCCTAAAGTTCACGGTGATGCCTTCATATGTCTTGTTTTGTCCGACCAACAGTCCAAAAGCCCAAAATATTCAGTTTACAAACGATGCAGAAAAGCTGCAAATCATCCCAACTGTGGAGCTGAAACTATGAAATCTTCAGTGTCTTCACTTGAAAAACTACATAAATAATGAATTGATAGTCTAAATATTTGCTGATGTATTATATGATGATGATTGATTTTTCATACATTTGCCATATTATGTGATACGAATCAGTATCAGAACACACCCCTATTGATATGATGATGATGATGATGATGATGATGATGTAAAACATATAACCTGGCTGTAGTTGCCAGATTGTTTCCCATCCCACTTTCCGAGGTGTGAGAGGGGAAGGGGGCGTGTGAATGCATGTGTGAGAGAGAGAGGGTTTCAATGTACTTCCTAAATGACCTGTCAGGGCGGAGCGGAGCAATTAGTGGACCGGCATCCCCAACTGGAAACTGCAGGCCCTCTCCTTTCACGCTACACATACATCCGCATACACACAGTCACACAGATTACCTTTTCGGAAGTGGCAGGGACCCGAGTGCCCCGCCAAGCACTGCGAAGTGTAATTACAGAGAAGTTTGCCTTTTTCCCCCACCCATATCCTCCCCCCACCACCCCTTCTCCTCCTCCTCCTCCTCCTCCACTCCTCTCCCTCCATCCGGTTGCCTGCTGCTCTAGAAACACGTTAAAATGCTCTCTGTGGCTTAATTAGCAGCCTGCGAAACAAGCCATGCATTCTTGGCCTGGTTTCTACACACACACACACACACACACACACACACATGTGTAAAGGCACACGCGCAGACCCACACACACGTGCACATGCATGTGGACAACATGCACACAGTGTGCATTCAGCAGGGGGCAGCAGTGTACTGCCGGTTGGAGAGATGGAAGTCTGTGTTGAAATGAGTGGCGCTGCAGTTGATTGGCTGCTGCTTTTAATGACAGGAACGCTAATTAGGGAGATATTTATAGACCCTGGAGACTCTGAAAATGTCTCAGACATGCAGATGGAAAAACACGAAGAGCAGGCCGCTCGCAATGATGCACCGTGTCAGTGAAATGTAAAACGTCCGAATGAAATCATTGAGCATGTATATTCATTTCGTTTGTGTGTCGGTGTGCGAGTGTGTACGTGCAGGTCCCCTCCTGCTCCAGCGGATCAGCAGTGTGTTAGCTTCCTGTTCTGCTAGGTGAGCGGAAGTCATAAAGCCGGTGAACATTTACTGCAGCGCTCTCTCTCTTTCTGCACCTGGCTTACTCCATTCCCACCAACACCCTGCCCTCCTCCCCCCTTCTCTACACACACACACACACACACACACACACACACACGCACACTTACCTCATCTTAAAGCAAAGACCTGAGCTTCTTGTACATCCCGAGTTATTAACTCTGGCATTTCTTTTTCTCGTTCTTGTTCTTCTATACCCGGCTGTCAAACATTTGCCTGAATGGCATTTAGCGGCCTGCTACTGTTACAGTGTTCATGGTTCTTATGAATATATCCTTCCATATAGAAGTTGGACTGCTGGTTCATCACTGCAGATGGATGATTCTTATTTACAATAAGATTCGTTGATTAACCGATCGTTGAAGTGACTTATTAAGGAAAAATGCCGAGCATTCAGTGTTTAGATGAGCCAAAGTATTCAAACTCAGTGGTTTTAAAGAGGTCCGATGTTAAGATGCGTCCTGACTCATCCTTGTCAGTGTTGTAGGTCGATGTGCGTCGGTGCTTCAGTTTTTGTGTGTGTGTGTGCATGTGTGTGTGCGCATACTAATGCATGCACAGAGAGCTCTGGTCTCTACATCTGAGCAGCAGGTAGGATTATTAAGGCTCTGCTATAAAAGACTGTTGAAGACCACCTCTGTGGACCACCTCAGATGTGTGTGTGTTTATGGATGCATGCCCCTGCTGTCTTTTTTCCTCACCTAGCCTCTTCAGTGTTTTTTACCTAAACTCAAATGTAAAAGACTCCGCTGTACACTGCAGCAGTGGTAGTGTTAATTCTTCTTCTAGGTTGTTTTCTTGTTTGCTGGTCCCCTTGGTGTTTTCCTGCACTGTGGGAAGTCTGCATTCTTTTTTAATTATGAGGTGTGAAAGCCTGAAACTAAAGGGCTAAGAAGGCCAGCACGCAAACACACGCACGCACGCACACACACACACACACACACACACACACACACACACACACACACACGCACGCACATGGGATTAGTTGGAAGGCGCGTCCTTGAGTGTGTTGTTAATTGTTGCACAGTGATGATCTAGTTCTTGGATCTGAATTGCAATACATCTGCTAGCCATTACATATAAAGCTGCAATTATGCCTACATGCACACACACACACACACACACACACACACACACACACACAGAGGCAT